ATGATTTTCACTAAGTTTCATAACAAATTTCGTGGTTAAATCTCGTTTTTATCAAAAAGCTAGTTTTTCCTCTAAACCCTTGATTTTCCCTAATTTTTACATGTTAATCTACCCATAATCTAGGTATTTAACTCACATTTGGTAGAATCACTTACTTCCAAAAGCTAGGTCGAAATCCCGTCTTTGAGAACTCCCCAATCGCCCAAATGTGGAAGAAAATGTGATAAATATACAACACATTAAGGCAGAAATCAAGCACCCTATAGTCCTTCTTACATCCCAAGAAAACTCATCGTGTCAAATTCAAACCATCTGAATACATCCAGCAGTCACATCATACTTCATCATATAGCCATCCAACCACTCACCAGCCATAAACTCCACTCATAGGGACACTACCAGACATATAAGTCCAAAAGCATATACTGACAGAATTGAACTACCAAGCCTAAGCTGCGGTCTAAACCTGGCCTCAAGTCCTCCAGGCTGGTCCATAACCAAAATACCGGAAACATATTTTGCACCTCATCCATAGAATCACCCGTCGATGCACAGCTGATACCCAGCTATCACGTACGTATACGAGTTAGTAGAAGAAATTCAAAAGAGATACACNACCCCCGGGCCCACATGCACGGATTCCGGAAACTTTCAAAGAAAGTCGCTAGCCATAACCTTAGGAACATAATATATGATTTTCACTAAGTTTCATAACAAATTTCGTGGTTAAATCTCGTTTTTATCAAAAAGCTAGTTTTTCCTCTAAACCCTTGATTTTCCCTAATTTTTACATGTTAATCTACCCATAATCTAGGTATTTAACTCACATTTGGTAGAATCACTTACTTCCAAAAGCTAGGTCGAAATCCCGTCTTTGAGAACTCCCCAATCGCCCAAATGTGGAAGAAAATGTGATAAAAATGGCCTAAGTCCGTATTAAATGATCCCTCACTGCCTAGCGACTTTCGCACATGCGGTGCCTTGGCCGTAACTGCGGTCTCACACCTGAGGAAAAGCCATCACAGGTGCGCATTTCCCTCACCTGCTTCGCATATACGGATAGAAGTGCCGCTTCTGCTAGCCCAGCCGCACCCGCGACCACAGCTCTCGCACCTGCGGTCATGCAGGTGCACCCAATCTTCCACATCTACGGTTCCTGGGCTGCCCTTGAATTCTCGCTTCTGCAGCTCGTGGCTCGCTCCTGCGGCTGGCCAAGGCAGGTGCGATTATAACAGATCTGGGGAGCTTCAGCTGTTGCTTCAAGCTCCCAACTTGGTCCGAGCCTCGTCCTATCGACAATCGGGGCCCCGGAGGCCCCGCCCGAACATACCCACAAGTCTGGAATCATAAAACAAACTCGCTTGAACTCTCGAAATGCCCGAAACAACATTAAAACTAAGAATCACACCCCAAAACCAATTGAATCAAATTTATGAACTTCAAGTTATTCAATTTACTTCCAATGCGTCGAGATGTACTTATACTACTCGGAATGACACCAAATTTTGCATGCAAGTCTTAAATGATATTACGGAACTATTTCGGATCTCGAAAATCCCATTTGGACCTCAATATCACCAAAACTCGCTCCAAACCAAATTTAAAGAACTTTCAAAACCTTTAAGAATCAACTTTCACTATTAGGCGCCAAAACGCTCCCGGGTCATTCAAAACCCGATCCGAACATACGCTCAAGTCCGAAATCACCATACGAACCTATTGGAACCGTCAAATCCCGATTCCGAGCTCATTTACCCAAGATGTTGACCATAGTCAAACTTGGCCTTTTAAGCCAACCTTAAGGAACCAAGTGTTCTGATTTCAACCCAAACTCTTCTAAATCCCGAATTAACCATCCCCACAAGTCAGAAATAAGTTAAAGCGAGTACGAAAAGTCTTATTTAGGGGAACGGGGTTCTAGAAAGCAAAATGACCGGTCGGGTCGTTACAGTACTCCAAAATATTTTGGCAATGTGATTATTTAAAGACAACAGTAATGCAACCATAATTGTATTACTTTCTCTTTAAAAGAGATATTTACCATATGGGTGTTGATGAATATGTGGTAGTACAAAAATAATTGAGAGCTCTGGAAGAGCCAATTATTACTATTTTGGAGGAATACAATTGATTATCGTGTCAATTTATTGTGTCGTAGTAAGTCTCAAAGAAACTTAATTGAGTTTTTAGAGTATTCGCGAAAGCGGCTGGTTATATTGAGACTATAAATAAAGGAAAAATTTAATATCTTATAAAACTACAACTTGTAGCGGGGTGACATGTATGTGAAATACTAGCCGCTTTATTCTCCAGTTTGTACTACACTAAGAAAAGAATGCCACAATAAAGTGAAAGTTTATTGATATAAAAACCCATATCATAATAGACTAGGAGTCTATTGATAATTGCGCGCGTCATGGTGTATACCTGAAGTTTATTAATATTGATAATTTATCCAGTTGGCATAATTGGTTTAGCCATGTTAATTTAAGCACGGTGTACAAAAATAAAAGAGAATCCACATGGGTAAAGATTAAAGAACTAGAAGTTCTTTATGAATTCTCTTATGTTGTTGTTCTCATTAATTAATAGATCAGCTAAAATTGGAATCCCATGAATGCTGGAAATATCAAAGGTGAATTGGAGTTCATTCACCTACCATGTATACCACATAAGATGCATCTATGAGATGGTTACATGTGCGATTATTATTAACCCGCAACCCGGCCGGTGTTTGTGAGGTAACTTGCTCAATAATTTAATTTCGAGTATAATTTCTATATTTTCTATTCAAGACAGTTCATCTTGATAAGTTGGTTTACAACACAATTGGTTTAGTAAAATGATTTATTGAGTGCCTCCACTTAATAGCTAAACTATTGCTTATGAGAACGAAGTTATCTATATCAGTTTGATATACGTTATATACCAAAGTATATTACATTCTTCCCTCAGGGTCAAGAATCAAATAATTCCATCTTAATGTTATTGATGTGCGATGTATATTTTGATTAATACCATAACGCACAAAGATGGATTTCCAAACTTGAGGAAGCAAGTTAGTTTTTCTAACATGAGGGGGAGACAAGATAAATAGTTGAGAAAAAGTTACGTGGAATGAATTATCATTTGTACATCTCGATCCTCAAATAAAACACTATGAACTTGAAGTTCATAAAAAGATAATTCATCTGCAATATGTTGCAATTCATGCCAGACGCATTTGCCGACCCAAAGAAAGTAATAATATTCTCACTGCAAATGCTCATATTAGAATAAGTCCTAGAAGGACAAAGTCTATAGTACCCTTAAAGCGTATAAACAAATCGGTTTCAAATAAAATTTTGATAAATAAGATGAGAAAATGATCAAAATGATCATAATAAGGAGGTAAGTGATCTAGAAGATCACATGACATAACACTTCATAAAATCTCAGGAGAGGTTCATGTACCTGAAATAAATAAAGAGATCTCTATGTTATGTCTTTATGAAAAAAAAATATGAGAACCGATATAAAATGTTCGTCGTCGACATCTATGAAAGCGCTAAGTATAGATGAGGATCTTAAGTCTGTTGAATACAGACACAAAAATATTGGCCAAATGGAAGAGACACAATTCGAATAGAATTGGTTTCATATGAAAGATATGTAGTTTTGGACCCGCAATTCAAACACTTGAAAGTATAAAGTCAATGGTGTGTGCAATCACCTTTATCTATCTTATTTGTCTAGCATGACATGAAAACTTGATATGCATCTAAAGTCCATTTAAATGGCTTATTTGACTATACTTATATGACAATCCCCAAAGGATTTAAATCGCTTAAAGCATATACAATTCTTGATCTTGAAGTACCACATCCTCACTGCAATTTGGGCACAAATGTATCTTGTTATAAGTATAAGCATGATTATATGATAGCGAGAGTTTTCACCTCTATGTGAAGATATTGAAATGACGATTCCAACAAGATCATATGAAGACAATAGATCTATTAGGGATGATGATTTCAAGGTGAAACAAATTCGTTCAAGTTAATATGGCTGATTTGTTTGTCGAATCTCTACCAACGATCTTTTGAATATGGTGTACAAGATTGGAATGCAAAGGCTTAAAGATGTGAATTGATGCTCTCATCAGGGTTAATAGGCGTTGTACTCTTTTTCCTTACAAGATTTTGTCCCATTGGGTTTTCCTTGCAAGGTTTTTAACGACCAAAAGGCGTATTTCTAAACATGTGTACTCTTTTTCCTTCACTAGAATTTTCTCCCACTGGGTTTATTTTAGTTAAAGTTTTAATAAGGCACATTATTTATTGAATAGACATTCAAGGGGGAGTGTTATAAATAGTATTTTATTTATGGTGAATGTCTATTTTAGAGAGATTTTAGGGTTTGTTACTTGGTGGCTAACTCACTTTTCCCTATAAATAGAGGAGTTCTATTACATTGTAATTCATCTCAAATCAATAAGAATTCTGTTTCTCTGAAATACTCTTTCCTTCTTTTATTGTTTTATAACATGTAGCTAAGTGAACGTGATTTCTCTTTTTTAAATGATTGAACAAACTCGGATACGATTAACTTTCGCATGCAATTAGGAAAATCTTTTCAGATTTGCCTAATGACACGTAAAAAGTTACATAAAATAAATGACTACAAATATGTATCTTTTTAAATAAATATTTATCACATAATTAAGTTAAGCGGTATTGTTAAGTGATTTTATACTTGCACTTTAACTTTTAATTACTATAGCTAAATTACTTCACATATGCTGATAGTATTTATTGGAATGATTTGTGTTTGATTGAGTTTAATCAAAATAATGCTTCCTACCGCATTCATGGGAATTACTTGGGATTTAGAACAAGTCACGTGAAACCATGCAACTTTCTTGCAGATCCTTACGATCATGTCTTTGAGAGATCATAATGAAAATTTCAATGTTTTTAACACTTCTTTTCTCTGTTTATGCATAATAGTCTACTATATTTTTTACGAATTCACACTCAAGGAAAAAGAAGGAAAAAAAAGGGAAAGTGTAGGAATCTGTTTAATTTCTCTATTTAATTTGGAAATTAAGAAAATGGACAACCTGTTTGGTGAAATAGATTGTAGATCAAAGTCAGACGGAATAGTGATGGGAATTCTAAGATCTGCCATGGACAAAGCACATGAAAAGGTCCAATCTGAAGCTGGATCCATTGAATTTCTTCACGAGAGATCAAAGTTCTATGAATTGGCAGTGATCCTTGTGGAATCAGGTCTAAGCATTGTTCAACAAGAGACTGATATTCTTGAAAGCAACCGCGAAAAGGTCATCTCAGACTTAACAGAAATGAGGCATTGGCTTTTGGGAAGGATTAAGGTAATGAAACTCTTAATCACTGAGAAAGATAGAGAATTAACAGAAAGGACTGAAAATGAGTTAAAGCTCAGACAGGTTTTAGAAACCAAAGAAAGAGAACTTGTTTTTATTCGCGACAAATTTGAGCTTCAAAGAACAAAGAGTGAAGGGTCTCAAGATTTGAGGTTAGTACAAAAGAATGAAGCTATAGAAGGTGAAACTAGCGACTCGAAATCTGATTCAGAGCTTCTAAATGAAGGAAGTTGTCAAAATGACTTGTATGGAAGTTACCATATTCCTGAAATAAAGCCAATGACTGATCATTCATTAAGGCCTGAACAAAACAATGTGATTCAACAGATGAGTTCTGATATAGATATTTTAAAAGAAACTTTGGATTTTGCATTTGGGAGAAGAGATAATGGTGAGATGGTTCCTTTAGAAAAGCAATGGAGGTGTACCATTGAGAAAGATACATTATCTGTCTTGATAAAAGGATTCATAAATGATATCCAAAAAAGATTTGAATCAGAGTTGAAGAAAAGGGGTGATCAAATTCCACTTGAATTTTCAAATGACAACTTATCAGAATTTATCTGTGAGATAACAGCGTTGCGCCATGAACTAGAGACCTTCTATAGTAGACATGATGAGGAAAGGAAAACAATGAACAAGCAAGATATCTTAGGCCAAAAGCAGGCAAAGGTACGTCGGACGTGTAGTGAGCCTTTGCCAAAAGTTGCTCATCAACTGTCTGATCAGGAGGACCAAGAAGATGGTGGAAGTAATTATGTTGCTAAGCTGATTAAGAATCATGAGTCAATTCTAAAGAAGCAGTTCGAAGATCGAAATTGTAAATTTTTCTTACACAAGAAAGACATGGAACTTGATATCTTGGACAGAATCATAAAAGACATCATCATAAGATTGGATGTTATAACAAGCTCATCGAACGTTAAGTCGGTCGATAAGAAACATGTGAAAGAGGAAGAAAACTTGGAGTCAATAAAAGGCACAACTACTTTATTGCTAAGCCAATTTGATATAGAAGATGGGAATTTAGAAACATTGGTTAAGAATTTTAGAGATGGCAAAATCTTACCAGAGACAATAGGGAGCCTATTGAAAGAGAATGTCTACATGGTATTCTTCATTGAAATGGTTAAGGCATGTAAGGAGGAAAAAGATGATATTGATATGGAAATTCAAATAAGAGAAGATATATACAAGTTTATCATGGTTGAGGCTGTGAAAGATGTACATACCAAATTTTCGGAATATTTGAATCCTGCTTATAAGAAGGTGGAAATTGATGGAACTGAGGAAAGTCTGATTCAAAAGCTCGATTCTTTGTTAAAATGTCTCGAGTCAGAGGAAGATCTAATGGCGAAAGCAAGTTCTGAGATAGAAGAACACAATGTGCGTCATGAACAAGAAATCTTGGAATGTGAAGAGGTTGAGGAGCGCGAGACTATTGAATGGCTGTTGAATGATGAAGAGAGCACTTTCACTTCTGTGAACGAAAAACTAGAGATCGCGATGAGACAACTATCTACAAGCAAAGAATTGTTGTTTGATTTGGAACAAAGTCTTGGCATTTCACCTGAAGTATTAGCAAAAAGTACTGATGATTTCCTACATACAAACACTAGTATTGTGTCTCAAACTGAAGAACCACAAGAGTTATCAGTTATTAATCCATCTGATGTTTTGATCTTAGCACAGATAGCAGATTTTCATCAAGTGATTCAAGAATTTGAGGTCAATGTAGTTCATAATATAGACACAAAATTGTCCAGGTATTCAATTTTTTTCATCTGTTTGTTTCTTCTCAGGCCTCAGTTCATAATAGGGACTAATGAGAATGTTACATTACCTTTTTTCCAGGATAGAGGAAGTGAAACACCAATTCCACAACTTAATTGTTGAACCAGTTGCTTTAATAAACAAAAGGAAATTGCTTTACAAGAAGGCTTTTTTAGCAAGATGTCAGAATCTAAAATTGGCTGAAACTGAGGTACATTTTATTGAATTTCATTAGAAAATTAATTAACATGCTTAAGCATCTTGCTATATTTTTAAGCCTTTTTTCTTTTTCCTGTTATAAGATACGTGAATTTAAGCTAATTTAAGCTAGCGTTTGGCCATAGATTCTCAAATTTGTTTTGAAAAATCTGATTTGGGTGAAGTTTGGTTTGAAGATGAAAATGTGTTTGGACATCAGTTTTCAAAACATATTTCCCAAATTTATTTTGGAAAAACATGAAACATGACTTATACCCACAAGTTTTAAAAACTATCACAAATACCCAACGGTATCATTATCAATAACATTCATTATATTATCGCAAACCATAGTCCTGAACATAAATAAATTTGGTACAAAATTATTATTTTTATAATGAACTACATGATAAGCTATCAGATGACCGAGAAGACGAAATAACATTATTAAAAAATAATAAATGGTGGGCTCTTTTATAAAATACGAAAGTTTGGGGCAATTTTTAAAACATGTAATAACGATATTTTGGCCCAAAACCAGCTGTCGAGGTGGTTTTGGGATTTGGGATTTTGCCAAAATAATATAGGCATAATCTATGGTCAAACATGTGTTTGCCAAATAAAACTCAAATTTATTTTAGCAAAATCTATGGCCAAACGGGTCCTAAGAGTTTCGAGTTAGTTTTCTTTATTGTTTCCCTTTCATCCACACGAAAACGACAATTTTTTTTTTTTTTTTGAAACGATGGTGAAGGATCGGAGTGAAAATTGAAACTTAAACAACTCAATGTTATCTGTGTACAATATTGAGATTCTTATAGATTTTTTCCTCTCCTTCGCATTATTTATTTATTATGTAATATTTGTTGAAGGACAATTTTATTTATTGCTAAAAGAAGAAATGGAGCAAGATATTTAGCATTTAATGTGGATTATTGATAAGATTGGTATTTTTAAAGGTGGATTTGCTGGGGGATCAGGTAGAAGCACTTTTGCATCTGCTTGAGAAAATATACGTGATACTGGACCAAAATTCGACTGTTTTATCTTGCCATTTTCAGGTCAGCAACTACCAAACATAACATGGTTATATTATTTATTTAGTATGAATTTGTGATTTATGAGTTATGGCTCTTTTTCTTCTTCTTCCTTCAATATTTATTAGATGTATTTCATATTCATATTCATTGTTTTAAATTTTATCTATTTCCTTACTTTTTAGTTTTTTCAATTATGCAGGTGTTTGACATCTTAAAACTCATCAAAGAAAAGTTGGGAGATGCAGTTGCTTGTATATCTACTTCTTAGTAAATAAAATCTAATATTTAATTTTTGTATAACATGCTCATTTCCTTATATGAACATATAATCTTCTTTCTTGTCTGAATTATCAGCAGTCCAGCACATAAGAACATAGGCGAATTTAGGATTTAATGGCTACGGGTGTCGTTGTATTGAATGTAAATTTATGCATCCGGTTGGTTCGTGTAGTTTTAAATTAATGTGTGTGATTCAGTTCATTTTGAATTAATTTTGTTCGATTTGCAAGGTTTTTTTTGTGCATAAATAAACACGTGATAAGCAAACTAAAAATGTTTGATTCTTTATTTGAAATCAAGAGAAAAAAAACATTAACTAAATAAAAACGAAAAAATAATATCCAAAGCATATTGAAATAAATATATTGATGAGATCTAGAAAAAGAAAGAGAAGTAAAATACTTTTACAATTTAAATAAACAATTGAACATAGAGTAGAAATACAAGCATGAAAACAAAAGGCATTTAAAAAAAAATGGAAAGACGGAACAAGTCGTCAAAGAGCAAAGTTCTGCTAATATGAGAATAGTGAGTATCGATCTTGGGTCTAAAAACCTGAGGGGGGTTGGGGAGTCGTTGACCGTGGCACCTACAATCACTTTATGACCGGGGGTGCCATTCTTTCTTTTATGTCAGTTTCTAACGTTTTTTTTACGTGTGAAGTAGCAGAACTTATATGAAATTTTACCCGAGCAACCGAGTGGTATAGGGCTGGGCATATATTGGGTAAACCGATAATCCGAACCGTTAATTATTTATTGGATTATCGGTATTGGGTTATTGGGTTAACGATTCGGTAACGGTTTAGAATTTTTTCACTATTGGGTTATCGGTTCGGGCCTCGATTTGGCAATTCTATTATTGGGTTAACCGATAACCCAATAAGGATTAATGAAATTACTACTTTACCCTTAAGTATATACATATGCAGATATGCTAGGGCTTCATTCTTTCCTATTATTTCTTAGCCTCAGCCGCATTCTTCAGAGTTCAGACTCTTCGCTCTTCAATTGGACAACTGTTTGTAGTGTTGAATTATTAGTTGCAGATTTTATGGCTTAGCAGCAACATTATGTTGATATTTGTAGTGTTGGAAACTGGAAAGTTGTAGCAGCAACATTATGTTGAATATTAGTTGCAGATTCTTTGTTGAATGTAGTGTTTGATTATGTTTGTTGCAGATTCTTTGTTCAATGTATTGTTGTTTACGTTGAATATTAGTTGCCGATATAAAACTGTTTTAGCACAATTAGTAAGACATGTGATACAACAACTGTATTGCAGGGGTCAGATTAAATCAAAGCCAGCAGGAAGATTAGAACAATTAGTTGTGTCCACTGTCCAGAACTGATATAAAGTTGTTTTATAAAACTGTTTTAGTTGTGGCCAGAAACGAGTTTTAAAACTGTTTTACTCTTCTCTTTTTTGCTTAACTCTAGATTGAGTTATCTTATCGGGTAAACCAATAACCGAACCGATAATGATCGATAACCGATAACTAATATCTTATCGGTTTGGTTGTCGGTTTATCATATTTGTAAACCGATAACCAATATGCTAAACCGATAATATTCATAACCGAACCGAACCGACCGATACCCACCCCTAGAGTAGCATACCACCCCATTCCTCTGCATAGATTCGCCCTTGCATGAGAATTATGCAAGTCATCGGGTTTACGACCATTTAATAACCACATTGTGTCATATTGTGTTTACATTTACATATCATAGGTGTTAGGCATAATCTCTTTGTGTGCATAAACATAAAAATACTCACCATAAATATTCTTTCATCATCTAGAAGTTTACATATTTCGTATTTGGACATTAAGTAAAAACTTTTCTAAGTCAAAGTATTTATGATAAGTACTTTCAAATTTTATGAAAAATTTTGTAGTCTTATTTCATTCGAATATAACTGGTGTTATATGGAATGAAACATAAAAAGAATTCTTTACTCGTTTAAGGAATATCTCTAATTTTCTCTCAGTCAAAAATAGTAGTAGATTAGTGTCACAAGGGCGATTTTCGAGGTTCACATCCGTGCGACAATCAAGCCCAGCACTTGACTTCAACTTTCCAACACTTGAATTATTTTAGAGGTTTGGGACTTATAATAAAATTCATGCAGCAAATAAAGTAAAGGCACATACGAAATTATAGGAATTTCTTCCCAACTTGCATGTGAATACAAGAACACAAAGAAGCCAATCATATGACCAAGAACAAAGAACTCCATAGTTCCCTGTCTTGGAAAGATTGCATACCCTTAGGAATAACACTTGGACGTTTTTGGCATAAACAAAGAGCCACAAGACTAAGTGGGCGTTTGGACATAAGAATTGTAAAATTCTAAAAAAAAAAAGTGAAAATGGTATTTGAAAATTAGAGTTGTGTTTGGACATGAATATAATTTTAGGTTGTTTTTGAAGTTTTGTGAGTGATTTGAGTGAAAATGTTGAAAAATAGTCTTTTGGAATTTTTCAAATTTTCGAGAAATTCCAAAATTCATCTTCAAGTGAAAATTTAAAATTGTATGATCAAATACTGATTTTGAAAAAAACTGAATTTTTTTTTTGAAAAAAAGTGATAAAAATCTTATGTCCAAACGGATTGTAAGTTCTACCTTTGGTATAACGACCCGGCCGGTCGTTTCAAGAGTTATAGCCCTGTTTCCCCATTTCCTACTTCTTTTGTGTTCTTCAGTTGTAATTTGACTTACCAGGTTAGTTGCTTCAGGTCCGGGGTGATTTTGGATTGAATTGAGACACTTAGTCTCTTATGAGAAGGTTTAAGTTGGAAGAGTTATCGGATGTTGACTTATGCGTAAACGACCTCGAATTTTAATTTTGATGGTTCCGTTAGCTCCGTTATGTGATTTTGGACTTAGGAGCGCGTCCAAAATGTGATTTGGAGGCCTGTAGTATAATTAGGAGTGAATTGGCGAAAGTTGGAATTTTGGCGATTTTGGTCGGCAGTGGAAATTTTGATATCGGGTCGGATTGGATTTCCGGAAGTTGGAGCAGGTTCATGGTGTCATTTCTGACTTGTGTGCAAAATTTGAGGTTATTCAGACGTCTTTTGATAGGTTTTGGCGTTGTTTGTGGAATTCGGAAAATTTGGAAGTTCTTAGGCTTGAATCTGAGTGTAATTTGGTGTTTTGATGTTGTTTTGGGTAATTCGAAGGTTCAACTAAGTTTGTATGATGTTATGGGATATGTTGGTATGTTCGGTTGAGGTCCCGAGGGCCTCGGGTTGATTTCGGGTGAATAACGAAACAAGTTGGAAATTGGAGGAGTTGCTGAAGTTGGAACTCAGTTGTCATAATCGCACCTGCGTAGTGGGAGCCGCAGGTGCGATCTCGCAAAAGCGTAGAAGGAGCCGCAGAAGCGGCCAAGGCTGAGCTGGGCAGAGGGTGCAGGTGCGATGGCATTCCCGCACCTGCGGAGGTTGCAGAAGCGGACCTACGGGCGCAGGTGCGAGGCGGGACTGCAGAAGCGTGAGGAATTCCGCACCTGCATATGCGCAGATGCGGTCTTGAGGCCGCAAGAGCGAGGTTAGTATTTTAAGTGGGTTCCCCACCTGCGATGGATTTTCCGCAGGTGCGGCTTCGCAGAAGCGACATTTGGACCGCAGGTGCGATATTGCTGGGCAGAATGTATAAATAGGAGATTTCGCGAATTTTCGCTCATTTCCACCATTTTCAAGTCGGACTTTGGAGCTTTTGGGGAGATTTTTGGAGGAGATTCAAGGATATTCACTGAGGTAAGTTGCTTGATCTCTAATATCATTAGCTATGGTGTTTTTACGATGATTTCCCCCAAATTAGTAGGATTTTTGAAGTGAAATAAGGGGTTAGGGCTTGGGATTTGGAGAGAGTAATTTGGGGATTTGAGGGACCAAATGATGTCGGATTTTGATGAAATTGATATGGGTAGATTCGTGAGTGAAGGGGCTTTCTAGTTTTGTGATTTTTTTGGATTTCGAGACGTGGGCCCGGGGGGGCAGGTTTGAGTGAATTTCGGGATTTGGCCTATAATTTGGTACTTTCTTGTGGAATTGGTTCCTTTAGCCTATATTGATCGCATTGTATTGCTTGTGGCTAGATTCGGGACGTTCGGAGGCCGAGTCGAGAGGCAAGGGCATTGCGGAGTAGTATTTTGCTCGGCTTGAGGTAAGTAACGCTTTCAAACTTGGTTCTGAGGGTTCAAAACCCCAAACTACATGTTATATGGTTAGTAATGAGGTGATGCGCATGCCAAGTGACGGGCGTGCTGGCGTGCACTGTGAGAATCGTGACCTGTTTCATTCCATGGCACCTTTTAATGACTCTTTCTTGTTGATATCCGTGTTTCCATTATGTGATAAAGTAATTGAGCTGTAAACATGCTAAATACCATGTTAGGGCTTCATGCCGATACTGTTGGGACCCTAGTGGCGTTTCTTGCTGTCATTTTACTGATTTCACTGTTATTTGTACTCATTCATATTCATGCATTTTATATCATATCTCAGTCTCAGTTGTTATTATTGGCATAGCATAGCATTGTTTCCGGGCTAGTTTCCATGACATTGAGAGCCCGTGGGTGAGACTGGAGAGTGATGACTGAGTGAGACCGAGAGCCTGATTATGAGTGACAGTTATAGGGTCGAGCTGCACGCCGCAACAGTTATATTGATTATAATAGCGCTTGCGCCGTAGGAGCCCCTCCGGAGTCTGTACACCCACAGTGGGCGCAGATGATATTATTGAGGGATGGATTTTTCTAGACATGAATTTGTCCGTAGTATTGATATCTGGAGATGGATTTCTCCACAAGGTTGGATTGCCCTTCTTCCTCGGTACGGAATGACTTATAGTCAGTGATGAGTACGTTCCGGGATGGATTTCCCTGGGCTGAATGGCCATATACGGTACCGAGTGGTTGAGTATTTATATATATACCTGGAGATGGATTTCTCCTCATGGTTAGATTACCCTTTTTCCTCGGTACTGGGTGACTCACAGTCAGTGTTGTATATGTTCCGGGATGGATTTTGTTACAACCCATATTCACGTACGTTGGTTCATGCCATAAGTTAGTCGATGTAAATCTGAGAAGAGATTATCTTTGAGATGATAAGAAGTTAATCCTATTGGTCTTGAATGATACAAGGGTGTATAAGGGT